CACGCCACTTTCGGCTCAGACCTCACAGCCCAAGCAAGCGCTTGGTCGCACTGGCTATCGAACACAGCCCCGCCGCCCGTCACCTTCAATTCGGGGACCGCAGCCCAAGCAGGAGTTTGGCCGCACTGGCCGTCACACACAGCCCCGCCGCCCGCCCCTTCCAGCTCGGAGCCCGCGGCCCAAGCAAGCGCTTGGCCATACTGGCCACCACACACAGGCCTGCCACCCGCCCCTTCCAGCGCGGGGCCCGCGGCCCAAGCAAGCGCTTGGCCGTACTGGCCGTCACACACAGCCCCGCCGCCCGCCCCTTCCAGCTCGGGGCCCGCTGCCCAAGCAAGCACTTGGCCGTACTCGCTGGCAAACACAGCCCCGCCCCCAATCCCCTACAACTCTCTCCTCCAAGCGAAATCAGAATACTCGCTCTTCACCGCTACACCAATGCCCGCCCCATCGAACGCCATCGCCTCTGAACCTCCCCAAGTGGCTCACAACATCAGAGCACAGATATTAGCAGGTGCGGACGTCGATCTCTCTTCTCTTCTTTCCCTCCTGCCCACTTCCGACTCAAACCGTCAAATAGACTGCGGGGATTTCTCAGTCACTTTAAAAAACCCAAATCCTCTTTCATCACGACTACTTTCTTTTTCTGAGTTCACCATTGCATTTAGTCGGTTCACCGAGATCATCTGTTCAGCCTTCCCCCACAGGCGACGCGAACTCAATGATTATCTGTCAATTATAGCCGAGCTCGCATTGTTCTATGGAGGGAGTCATTTTTACACATACCACAAGCTGTTTTCTGCAAAATGTGCAGTACGAGTCGCCCAATGGAACCAGTGCCCTTACTGGGGCGCACTCGATCCAGATCTCCACAGCCGGGTATTTTTAGGCTGCAGGAACATTTCTTGTGCGGTTTGTAGGTCAGTCGCTCACTCCACCATGACTTGCCCACAAATCAACCCCTCTATACTCTCATGCCCTAATACTTCCTCAGCGAAATCCACCAGCTACGTCCCAAGATCCGCAACTACTGCAAACTCGGGTCCCGAACAACCAGCCCCATCAGAAGCAGATAACAGGCAGCCATGCACCTCATTTAAAAACGGGAGATGCTTCAGTCAGCGCTGCCGGTTCCTTCACATCTGCAGTTTCTGCGGCGGAGCTCACGCCCGCATTGTCTGCCCAGTGTTTAAAGCTGGAATAAAAAAATAAAAAAATTACCTATCGACTAAATTACCTAGAAATATGAATATTTCTCACCTGACCATCGAACTCGCTCACCACCCAGACAAATAATTCACTAATTATCTTCTGTCTGGCCTCAGACACGGTTTTAACCCCGGCGTCGAATGCGCACTTACCCAAAATTTCATCTGCAATAATCTCCAATCCGCCCACGCAGAGTCCGACGTTGTAGACAACTTAATCAAAAAAGAAGTCAAGTCAGGATTTATGATCGGCCCTTTCGATAAACCCCCCTTCGAAACGTTTCGTGTCAACCCCATCGGAGTGGCTACTAGGACATTTTCAGGTAAGAAACGCCTAATAATTGATCTATCATCACCAAATAATTCCACGGTCCCAAGCATTAATAGCTTGAGCCCTCTTGACGAATTTTCTCTCAAGTACCACGACATAGATCAGGCAGTCGAACTGATTAAAATTGCGGGCCGAGGAGCCTGGCTCGCAAAAATAGACATCACTTCTGTCTTCAAAGTGATGCTTGTTCACCTGAACTCATGGCATTTGTTCGGGATACGTTGGCTCGGGAAATTCTATTTCGCCGTCCGTTTAACCTTTGGATGCAAAAGCAGCCCCAAAATTTTTTAAATGTTATCAGAAGCCGTTTGCTGGATCTTGTCCAATAATTACGCAATGCCCCACCTTATTCACCTCCTAGACGACTTTCTGGTCATTTCACCTTCATCAATCATCATTTGGTCATCGGTTTTTACCAAGGATGTTGGTTTGCACCTCCATGGCCCCCCAGCATGGCCCCCCAGCTGCAGGGCTCACCCCAGTCCTCAGCTTTTTTCGAGCTCTACCCCCTCGTGGTAGCATCCTTCCTATGGGGGAATGAATGGGCTTCTAAAAGTATCTTAGTGCACTGCGACAACGAAGCAGCTATTCAGTGTATTAATAAAGGCCGTTCTCATTCTCCCGCCCTCACGCCCCTCCTTAGACGCTTAATATGGATTGCAGCATGCGACCAATTTATAATAATCACCAAACACGTTCCAGGTTCAGAAAACCAAATTGCTGACTCTCTGTCTCGCTTTATGTTTCAGAAATTCAGGACGCTGGCTCCAGAGGCGGACCAATTCCCAACTCCAGTACCTCATTATTCAGAATTAATATTCCCATAACCCACCCATTAAAACCCCTTCTCGATGCATCGCTCGACACTATCCTCCAAGCAGTTTCTCCCAGAACCCTTCAGTCATACGTGACGGCGTGGAGATGCTTCAAGGCATTCCACCGCTCATACAACACACCGTTCCCCAATTTTTCCCTACTTTCAATCACCTCATTCGTCTCTTTTCTTAACAGTGTTAAGGGTCTCCAAGTCGGGTCCATCAAAGGTTACTACCTGAGTGGCGTCCAATTTTTCCACAAGCTGATGTTCGGCGCTCCCTCGCCCGAAATAAGCAATTCACAAACCTCCCTCCTGATCAGAGGAATCCAGCGTTCCCAGCCCACCTGTCCCGACTCCAGACAACCCATAACGTTAGATGTTCATTCTAGCTTTTTTTGTCTTTCTTAGATGCTCGGAACTCACCATCTCTTACAAATATGATCCAAAAATCAACCCGACCGTCTCAAACCTAATCATACTCGATAGTGAAACAATTTCCTTCTTAATCAAACAAAGCAAGACAGACCAAGCCAAGAAAGGTCATTTTATCTACATTTTCAATCTCTCTTCTCCAGTCCAACCATACCAGTCTTCGAGTACCTCCGCCTTAGGAATTCTCAGGCTAAACTCCCCTTTTATACTTGCTGCCCGCAAGCGAGACTTATCCATCCGATGCCGTGAGTCTTGATCTCCCGTCGGGTGTCGCAAGAGTCCTCCTTGCCGGACGGCACAAAGCCTTTTTATCTGCCAAACCGAGAGGACCCACACGTCCTGAGTCTTGATCTCCAGTCGGAGGCTTCATGGGCCCTCTTGGTCAGCCATTTTGCCCTCTGCCCACTGATTAGCAGGGGCCTGTCAGCCAGTAGGGCCCGTACGCCGACACCGCGAGCTATTCCACTCGAGGCAACTCGGGCCCTCCTGGTAGGGCTACACAATGCACGCTGCTCCTCCCCCATCGGCCGGTAGGGCTGACCCGTTCCAACGATGTGAGCTCCCGTTGAGCATCGGCTCCAAAAGTAAGGTGTTTGAGGGGTTGAGTTAAATGTTACACAAAATAACTCCTTTGTTTAGGCTACTTCTGCATTTTTTTTTGTTTCTGTAGAGCTGCACATTTTAATAAGGATCAAATTAGTTCAGCTTTGAGAATGAAAACTAACCTGTTTGTTCCTCAGTATCTTCATGTTTGACTCTGAATGCTTCTTCAATCTTCATGTCCTCACTCTCCTCTTTAATAAACATCTTGATCTCAGTTGAGTTTGTTTATCTGTTTAAGATGAGAATCATTAATGGAAAGAAAAATAAATGCAAACTAAATCTCTGGGTGCGTCTCAAACAGCTCCATAGTTTAGTAGTCAGCACACTATTGAGAAGGGTTTCTAGAAGTTTCCTACCATTCCCTGTAATATGGAATAGTCCGTATTTTAGGCATCAGAGAAGCATTCCGTATGAAAGCTATACAGAACACAGTTTGTCCCATAATCCTTTCATGCAACTAAGTCACGAAAATGACATACACTATGTGCTACACAACAAATATTTTGAGCATCCCTTATTTTCCTTTTCTGAACTTGGCAGCCGTACTGGTAAGAGAGTCAGTCGGAGTGAGAGTTAATGGCCTTAAATCACCTCATTAAAATATATGTGCAAATTATAAAGAAAGTTCATATTTAGGTATTTATTATTTATATTTGGTATTCAATTATTTGTACATCATATCAAATAGATTCCACTTTCATGAAAACATTTGCGGTTGGTTTGTAAAAGTTGTCATTGAACATGTTTGTTTGTTGTTCTTGTTTGTCGATTCAAACCACTGAGTCATATTGCGAATGATTTGGTTCAGTTGACTCGGATCTTCAAAAAACTCTCATCACTTATTTCCCGTACTTGAACGATATTCAGATTCACGATATATGGAGTGAAATGAGACGCACCATTTCTGTTATTAATATGAGAATGTGCTTTACTTACAAAATAACATTAAATAAAGCATTACAACGTTATATTTAAGAATGATTAATTTATTTTACTTCGCTTGTAAAAACGTTTCAATTGACAGAACAGTTTGCATCGATTTAAACATTTAAAACCACAAACCTTTCTTAAGATGAATCACAACAGATGCTGGAGCATGGCGCAGCTTTATGACGTCACACCACCAGAGCAAAATAAAAGTCCCGATTCACACACTGCTGTCTGTTATATGCATACGATAATGCATTTTCACAGTTAGTCGCATCGTAAATCTAGATATTTTTATAATATTTTTTTTTAATTAATGTACATTTACAACATTCCCACCCAGCAAAAACTTGTTGAAAAGACGTCAATGCCAGACATCTAAACAACGTTAAAATTTGGTTGAAAAGTGAAAGGTGAAAAGACGTCTTTTTCAGGTCGTCGTCTTCTTCTTCTTCTTTTGATTTAATGGAGAGTTGCGAACCAACTTCAAAGGTGCATATCGCCACCTACTGTGATGGAGTGTGAAAAGAATGAACAAACCCTCCTATATCCTATTATATAACCCACTATTCTTAATAAATCTCATGACTGCATGTATTTGTTTTCCTGAATTTGGACCGTCATTTAATAAGCTGGTTGTAGTAAATTCCTGATATCCTACTGCTTGTAATTCTTCCTTAAGAATTCTCCTTTCTATTTCATATATCTTACATAACTTCATAACATGCTCTACAGTTTCCTCTATTAAACAGACATCACATAGACCCGTGTTATGTTTCCCTATAATGTGTAAAGTATGATTTAGATTTGAATGTCCTGTTCGTAAATGTGTGAAAATAACTTGTTCTTTTCTACTTAAGTTGTGAATTATTTTGCTTTTCTTTATGGTTTTTTGAACCTTGTAATAGTGTCGACCTGTATGACATGAGTCCCAAACTGTCTGCCATTTCCTATTGCATGCTTCTAAAATAAAATGTTTTCCTTCTGATCTACTGAGTGCAATGTTTATATTTGGTTCTTTCATTTTAATTGATTCTTTGGCAATTTTGTCTGCTTCCTCATTACCTTGAATTCCCACGTGTGCTGGTACCCACATAAATTGAATTATTATTCTCATCTGTCGTAAACTGTATAACCTAATCATGCGTGTTATGTTTCCCTATAATGTGTAAAGTATGACTTAGATTTGAATGTCCTGTTCGTAAATGTGAAAATAACTTGTTCTTTTCTACTTAAGTTGTGATTTTGCTTTTCTTTACGTTTTTTTTAACCTTGTAATAGTGTCGACCTGTATGACACGAGTCCCAAACTGTCTGCCATTTCCTATTGCATGCTTCTAAAATAAAATGTTTTCCTTCTGATCTACTGAGTGCAATGTTTATATTTGGTTCTTTCATTTTAATTGATTCTTTGGCAATTTTGTCTGCTTCCTCATTACCTTGAATTCCCACGTGTGCTGGTACCCACATAAATTGAATTATTATTCTCATCTGTCGTAAACTGTATAACCTAATCATGATTTCAGTTAAAATGTCAGTTCTATTTGTTTCCAATGATTGTAAACTCATAAGGACTGCCACTGAATCGGAACATATTATACTTTATCAGGTCTAACTTCACACACCCACTCTAGTGCCATTAAAATAGCTCTCATCTCAGCTGTATATACTGATTTTACGTGACGCGATACGCAATGCAATGTGTAAAAACACAGTATAAGGCCCCGATCACAACGAACACGTTTTTTAAGTCTGAAAACGCGAAGAGCACCGCCTTTTTTTTGGTGACTTAAAAAAAGAGCAGTGCGCGGCGTTTTTTTTATGTTGCTAGACATCCACCAAATCAGCTGTCCTGTCAGTCTAATCAAAGGATTATAGCGCGAGAGCTCTAAAATCTTTGATTTTTGCTGTTAAGTAAACTGTTGTATTAGCAAAAACCTTAAAAAAATACTTCGTCATCACAACGGAAGGCCCGCCTCTCCGTTCATTCGATTAGACAATGGAAAAAAACACAAATGACGTCGGGCGCTTTTTCTGCTCAGAGTTGCTTTTTTTTCCAACTTCAGGCACTCCGAGTGCTCCTGCAAAAACGCAGGGCGCATAAACAGCGCGCAGAACGCTCGCTGCCAACCGAAAACAATTCAAAAAAGGCGCCTCTCACTGCAAAAAACGCGTTCTGTGTGATCGGGGCCTAAATATGTTGCGCGTTTTAATAGACCGGTGACGACTGCACAGAGTAGCATTATAACAGAACTTTCAACCGTATCTAGTATGATAAAACAGCGCAGCTTTTTCCCCCACATACGCACGACCGGAAGAAGCGGAAGCGCTCGACTGTGGCATAACAGGGTGTCGCACTCGACAAAATAATGTTCTTTTTAGCAACATCATATGACCCCTTTAATATTGGGGGCATCCAAGTTATTTGATATATTTGAACATTTCTTTAAAAAAAGCAACACAATAGTTACTTTTCTTAGTAATTAGTTACTTTTATAATGATGTAACTCAGTTACTATTTGTGAGAAGTAACTAGTAACTATAACTAATTACTCTTTTAAAGTAACATGCCCAACACTGGTTAAAAGGTCCATGTTTGATAAAACTGAACAACATTCCAACAACCATACATTAAACAGCACAGAGCAACTAACCCAAAGCTGGCCTGTGTATGCGTGCCCAAATTGTGGCACACAGGAACACTCTCTGGAACCCATCAGGCGCAACCAGCCTTTAAATCTGTTTGTTTGTCCATCTATTCGTTTGCTTGATCCCTCCGTAGACAACAATACATGCAAAAAAAAAATGCCAGCCCAGTTGAACATTTGAACTGACCCTAGTTTTAAGCTAACTGTAATTTTACCTGCTTTATCATTGATTCACATTCCTTGTCTGTTATCTTGCAGAAAGCATAAATTAGACCCTTCTTAGCTACCACACTTGACTGCTGCTTAGCATTTCAAGTGTTAACATTACAAGCTTGATAAATTGAGAAACACTTCAATTTATACCATGTCTGAATGAAGGTGAACGGTTTGTGTCAGGTCGTTCTTTGACTTCATGCCATGCATTGAAACAGTGTAATACACACATAGTCATTTTCATATTATTCTTATTTGGTTCCAAATAATGATGCTCACAATTTCCAATGAGAAAGTTGAAGGTGACAAAGGCAAAGAAAACCCTTGATGTTTAACTGAATGAGGAAGAAGACTTTGGATGAAACATACAAATGTTAATTTGATTCATATTGCCTCACAAAATTAATGATACTGACAAACGTCCCAGACTTGATTATGACCGTTTATATTACACTTTATTTTTTAGTGAAAGAAAATTCACTGAGCCTGTAATAAACTTTAAAACAATCTTTAAATAATAAAACATTAAGGACACACTTTAATGTAATAACTGCTGAAAGCATCAATGTGAGGGGTGGGTTGACTTCATTCACAACATAACAGTCTCTACATAATAACAGTCTCAAATAAAGAATATAAAGATCTCTAATAGAATAATCCGTAACATCTGCAATGGACAAGGTGCAGACCGTGCATGGCAGACACTGGTTATGGACTGCACTTAATGAAATTTTGTTGCAAGATGGGTGTGGGAATGATGGAGGGCTTTAGGTAGATCGGTGCATCTTAGGATGTTGTCCTAGGTTGTCTGGTGGAGAAAAGAAGTGGGAAAAAATGTTAAGAGCATTTTATAAGGAAATAATGTACAAGTTACTGAAGGTGTAAACAATAATACAATATTGTGCAGTGAACACCATGTACAATGCAGCAACATGCACACAATACGGTCAACAATCTCTGTACTAGATACTACACAGCTGTGCCACTGAAATCAGATTGTCACAATATTTATTTGAATAAAGTTTTTGGGTGAACCATCCCTTTAAGGTCCATGTTTGATGGTTTGATAGAGATAATTGCTCATTTAGCAGTATTGCTGTGAAAGCTGACAGTAATTAATCAAACTGAACAACATTCCAACAGCCATACATTAAACAGCACAGAGCAACTAACCCAAAGCTGGCCTGTGTATGCGTGCCCAAACTGTGGGCCCCTACATCCTGCCCAATTTTGTCCTCCAAACAATGTGAAAACTGAAGTCAAAGAAAACAAATATAGTGAATGTATTTATGTAGGTTGTGCTACACATTCGCAAAAAAGGGTTAAAATATAAACATGACATTCTAAAACAAAAAAAATTTTGCTTGCCCTTTTAAAACATAAAACATATTTAAAATGCTAAAAACAAAACACAGACTAAATGTTAACTGGTATGGGGAACATGTATTCACGTGTTTATACACGTATATTCTGAATATAGTAAATTAACATAGCAATTGTTTTACATGTAACAACTGTAGTAATTACATGTATACCCCCTTTACAGTTACTGCTCTCATAAATATAACATGTTGAATATTAAACCTACATTTAAAATAAATAGTTTAGTAAAATGTAAATTTTAGTCAGAATCATTGTACTCCTATTCTCTTCAATTATTTCCAAAATTAGACAAGGACACAACCATCAAATGTAAGTTGTGCTCTGGAGAAACATGACTCAAGTCCACACACATCTGTCGAAGCATCTGTCAGGGCAAACCACAAACAATATTTGTTTATTGAAGCACTTTCTCTGCTTCTTTCAAGTTTTGTGCTCTGTGTGTGACTCAAATAATCCTATCTACTCCAGTTATAAAAGCTGCTGCTGGTTCAGATTTAACAGATGAAGTCAAGCCTCGACTGGACTCTTGTCGTGTTAATTGTATTAAAGGGGTCATATGATGCGATTTCAATTTTTTCCTTTCTCTTTGGAGTGTTACAAGCTCTTGGTGCATAAAGAAGATCTGTAAAGTTGCAAAGACTAAAGTCTCAAATCCAAAGAGATATTCTTTATAAAAGTTAAGAGTCAGCCACGCCTACCTAAAACGGCTCGTTCTAACACGCCCCCACATATCTACATCACTATGTGGGAAGATTTGCATAACACCGCCCAAATGTTCACGCAAAGAAAGAAGGCGTAACTTTTATTCTCGCTGTAGTATTGTTGTTGCCGCCGCCATGTCGTGAAGGTGCTGTGTTTCGTTGTGAAAGCGAAACTACTTTGTTTGGCCTTCCAAAAGAGGACGATATCCGCTTCCTCATGCCTAGAGCTGATCCCGGGGAATAAAGGAGAAACAATGATGTAAAGTATATGGAAAATAATGTGTTTTTAAACCTTAAACAGCATAAACACTTTTCATTACACCAAATACACAACATAATTTATTTCTTTTTAGCAGCATCATATGACCCCTTTAAGATTTTAGTTGTATGGATGTCGCCATCTTTGATAATACTTTACTATACTACTTTGCTTTAATTAGAGGAAATAATCACAGACAGAACACTGCTTGACTTCAGGTACTTGTGCATACAGACAGCATTCGAAACACTATTGTAAGCAGTTGTGTGTAGAGAACATTGAGACACATCTGTAAGTAAATGCGGTTGTTACTCCCAAACTGACAGTGTGAACATAGTCATAACAGTTTGTCCTTTTGTTTTTATTTACTTTTATTTTTTATAATTAATTGGGTTAAACTGGCTTCTTTTCAACTCTGGACAAACTTTATTTTATAATTAATTTTTTCATGGTGTATTGCATATACTACATTCCAAACAATTTGTTCTTCAATTTGCATTTTCTGAAGACGACTGAAAATGGTGTGGAATAACTTGCCTTTTTAATATATAAATAAAATAAAATGTGGCATTTTATCAAATTAATCTAAAACATTATTTGATTATTAAAATAATCAATGGTTGCAGCCTAAAAATTAACCATTCAAATATAGACAACAGTGTGCTAAACCATGTTTACATGTAGGAAGAGGTTTGGTGGTGGAAAGTGGGAGAAAGGTCCTCACCCAAAGTTTGGCCCGTAATTTCCACAGCTGGTGCACCCAGGGGTTGTGGTGAGCTGGTGGCAGAATGAAGGAGATCAGCTCAAAATCTGCTTTACAGTCCTTTTGTTTTTCTTTACTTTTATTTTTTTATAATTAATTGGGTTAAACTGGCTTCTGCTTTTAAACTCTGGACAAACTATATTTTATAATTTATCATTTATTTTTTCATGGTGTATTGCATATACTACATTCCAAACAATTCGTTCTTCAATTTGCATTCTTTGAAGACGACTGGAAATGGTGTGGAATAACTTGCCTTTTTAATATATAAAGAAAATAAAATGTGGCATTGTATCCAATTATTCTAAAACATTACTTGATTATTAAAAGAATCAATGGTTGCAGCCTAAAAAAATGAACCATTCAAATATAGACAACAGTGCGCTAAACAATGTTAACATGTAGGAAGAGGTTTGGTGGTGGAAAGTGGGAGAAAGGTCCTCACCCAAAGTTTGGCCCGTAATTTCCACAGCTGGTGCACCCAGGGCTTGTGGTAAGCTGGCGGCAGAATGAAGGAGATCAGCTCAAGAGCTGCTTTACATCATTAAAGCTTGGTCATATGAGATAATTCTTCTCAAGTGGTCTAATGGTCCTCAATGGAAGTTTGTCGACACCCTCTAGTTGTCACCGGACCCTGATAAAGATTGACACATTACATGTAGGAAGAGGTTTGGTGGTGGAAAGTGGGAGAAAGGTCCTCACCCAAAGTTTGGCCCGTAATTTCCACAGCTGGTGCACCCAGGGCTTGTGGTAAGCTGGCGGCAGAATGAAGGAGATCAGCTCAAGAGCTGCTTTACATCATTAAAGCTTGGTCATATGAGATAATTCTTCTCAAGTGGTCTAATGGTCCTCAATGGAAGTTTGTCGACATCCTAGTTGTCACCGGACCCTGATAAAGATTGACACATAACATTTATTTTAGGGTTGGGTGGTATGAAATATATATTGTGGTGACAATAAGAGTGTCTACTCAAAGATTTTATAGCTGTATTGTTTTTATAGTGGTATGTAAATATATCCAATGCAGCACAGGACTACTTAAAGTTATTGACATGTTAGAGCAATTTAAAAACAATTTCAAGGCTTATTACACTTAACTTCAGTTCAGATATGTATTCTCATCCATGCAAAGAACTCAACCCACTGAGCAAAAGTACGTCCAAACGACGTCTTTTCAACGTCTTTGTCAGACGTTGAAATTACGTCCCCTGAAGAGCCAGAATGAACGTTTTTACGATGTCTTTTTTTGATGTCTTTTCAACGTCTTTTTTTGACGTCTCTTCGACGTCTTTGTCAGACGTCGAAAAGATGTCCCTTCAGGAGCCAGAATTAAAGTTATGACGTCTTTTTATGACATCTTTTGAACAACCAATATTGACATCCACAGGACAAATAAACAGACACAAGGCGCATTCAATTAAAACTTATTTATAATAAGCTATATTAATTTAAATTGTATAATTGTTTATTGTGTGTGTCCCCCTCCCTGGCTTCTTGCTGGTGCATGCTTGAGGTGCTCCGAAGCATGTTTTTAATCATTTCTTCAGTTGCGTCCTTGCTCCATTTCATCACTGCAGCTGTAAGTGGAAAGATATGCTAAAAAAAAAAAAAAAAAACCTGGTAAAAAATATTTTACCAAGTACACACACACCTGGGCTGCACGGTTATGAGGCACATAAACAGCGCTCGTGTAGGAAAACCATATAAGCGAATTTGTGTCTAATCTACTTAATTTAGACCAACTAAAATCAATAACTTATCAATTAATTAAGTAGGCCTATAATACATGTATTCAAGAAATGTATTAAAAACAGGACGTATTTTCAGCCTTGCTGCGGAAACTGGTATGCTTGTTTGTTACGCAATTCAATCCATTACACACACGTTCTTGGTTATCTTCCTATATTAAATTAAATATATTAGACAGTTGGTTGATGAAACATTGATGACAATTTAAAAAAGATACAATTTATACAAAATGAAATTCACTTTAAAGAAAGGCTTTCTACAAAACAAAACTTACTGCATGGTCAAAATTGTGTCTGACCCACTCCATGTCTCCCGACATATTGCGCATCTTATGAGCCTATCTTAGTCATGCTGTTCACTTTTCATAATCAACATAGATGAAAAAAAAATATTACTGCTTAAAATGTAAACATAAATATGAAACTAAATAGGCTAGTTTTCTTTAACCCTCTGGCCGACGAACGCGCCAGCGCGTTCTGAAGGAAACAACTTAAAATAGGCTACTCAGTCATTTTTGGCCATACAAGACTGCGTTTCTAGATAACGATGATCTTAGCGCTTAAGAGCGTTTTCTACGAGTCAATTTACTATCGTTCATTATGTTTCACATATTACTGCTTAAAATGTAAACATAAATATGAAACTAAATAGGCTAGTTTTCTTTAACCCTCTGGCCGACGAACGCGCCAGCGCGTTCTGAAGGAAACAACTTAAAATAGGCTACTCAGTCATTTTTGGCCATACAAGACTGCGTTTCTAGATAACGATGATCTTAGCGCTTAAGAGCGTTTTCTACGAGTCAATTTACTATCGTTCATTATGTTTCACATGAGTTCCCAAAAATGCACAACACTATCACATGTAGCTGTGCTTTAAGTGCTACTTATAAGTCGCTATTATCTAGTGCTATAGCGTCATCTTCACCTAATACAATTGGTTATTACAAAACGTGTTTTTAATAAACATACATAACATGCACAACAAATAAACATTAATTTTTTGAAAAAATAAAGTGCAAAGGGACTTTGAGAAGCACTGCTATATGCCTTCCTTTTTGCTGACGACGTCACACCGCCAGACCAAAATAAAAGTCTATGATCTCAAGACTGCATAGAAATGTACGTTCATAGAAATAGTACAAATAAAAAGTAAACGTCAGAGAAATTCAATGCTGAATTTCCGGCGAGTGCCATTCTGTCTAAAAGGCAAAACTTTGACACATTTCAAATGTTTTCTTAGAAGTGCAATGCTTTTAAAAATAAATTATACACCATTAAATAGAATTGCCTGTTTTAGTTTCATATAAGGTTTATGTAATTAACAACCACTTTCCATTTTATCCATTTTTGTAAGATAAGTTGTGTTTGACAAGAATCAAACAACAATAATGTACAGTATGTGGAAAATAATGTTTTTTGAACCTTAAACCACGTAAACACATTGCATTACACCAAATAAACAAAATAATGTTATTTTTAGCATCGCCATATGACCCCTTTAAGTTATTTCTGCATTACAATATCTTAAATGGCTTCATTGCATTATCTTCAGGACTTCACTAATCAGATGACCCCTTTAACTACAAGCTACCCACACATCTGTGATACATTTACACTGAATTAATAAAATAAACAGAAAATCAGGACGAGCATATAGCCTTATGCATTTATTTATTTATGAAGAAAACAGATGAACTCGAGACTCTTTCATGTTCAACACACACCGGCGGAGGCAACAGAAAACAACGAAATATGATTAGGGCTGGGTAAAAAAAAAAAATAGATTTCTCGGTTTTAATAGATTGTCATTTTTATGAACCAATATCGACTCTTAAATCCCAATAGATTCTGTTTTCAGTTGATGAATGAACGCTGATTCGAATCACTGAATCATTCTGCGAAGCAATTGATTCAAATGACTTGGTAAAGTTTCAAAAAGATCCGTTTCTCCATCAGTAGTTGCCAGTGATCGAATTCTTATTTAAGATAATCTGATTCGCTACATAGCGAGCGAAACGCGCTTTACTCACACAAAATAACATGCGTTAATGTTAAATGAAGCAATGTTACATTTAGCTGTGATTCATTCATTTCACATTGCTTGTAAAAAATATAAACTTGTCTTTTGTTCACCAAAGCTGCTTTTATTGATCAAACATACTGTAAAAAATAAAAAAGTACTATTGTTAAATTTTAAATAACTAATAATAATAATAATAGTAATAATTTAAAATTGTATTATTTGAATACATTTATTTATTAATTAATTTTTATTTCTGTGATCAAAGTTGAATTTTCAGCATCATTACTCCAGGCTTCAGTGTCACGTGATTTTCAGAAATAATTTTAATATCTTTTTTTCTTTTCAGGATTCTTTGATGAATAGAAAGTTAAAAAGAACTTATCTGAAAGTCAAAAAGAACATGATCTTTTCAGAAATAATTTTAATATCTTCTTTTTTTCTTTTCAGGATTCTTTGATGAATAGAAAGTTAAAAAGAACTTATCTGAAAGTCAAAAAGAACATGATCTTTTTTTTCCCTGCCATCTTTGTATTTAATTGGTTACTTTCTTTGCTTTTATTGCATGACAATAAAATTCTTCAAGACATGGGAACAAGAGAAAAAGAGCTGGCATAGCTGTTATTGTCTTATTGTTCTATATTTTGCAGACATTTTTGTCAAATTAACACCACAATAAAACATTAATAGATCAATTTATCACTTTTTTGTAATTCTAATCCACTTTCAGAAGAACATCGCTCTGCACTCCTACATGAAACCTCTGGCAAGAGCAAAGGAGAACTTAATGCATATAACAGTAATAACATACCGTATACTAAGTGTTTTGAATTTTATGCAAGTATGATATTGGTCAGTTAATTTTCAGTGACAAATATTTTCAATTCAGCAGACCGATCACCAACCGTGCCTTCCTTTTTCAGCAAGACAATTACTCCAGTGGTTAAATTTGTCTTCTGAAGCAATCACTTTCACATCTGAAAGGGAAAACATACATGTTCCACATGTGATTTTCAGATGGGAAAGTAGGGATTTATGAACCTAATGCTGTCATGGATGTTTTGCAGCACAAAATCTGACTGAACGGATAAAGACCGGAAAATAACGGTAATTTTAATTTGTTAGACTATTTTATCTACAGCCCGTAAAAGGTAGAATTCTTTAGTGAAATAAAAATGATATTTATTGAAATTAATTCGAATTAAGGAGAGAGAGAGAGAGAGAACGAACGAACGCATGATGCACCCACGTGCGAGCGAGTGATTGTGAAGCATTGAAAACAA